CAAGCCGATCGCAAGCTTGTGCGACAGCCAATCCGAAGCATTGATTTCAAAATGCAAGCTTCAGATTGGCTGTCGCACAAGCTTGCGATCGGCTTGCAACTAATGTAGAACCGGCTTAAGGAGCTGTCTACAATACGTCGTATGTCAGATCGTAAGCCGTAAATCGTAAGAATTGACCAATCACAGTTGATTATTTTTCTTATATTCCACTGTGATTGTTCAATTTCTTACGGCTTACGGTTTACTACTCTCATTGTAGATGGACCTTAAAATGCCCGGGCTATGAATACCGCCTTTAAGTATTTTATGCACACTCACACCTTTATATTCAGAGGTTATGTATCGAAGCGCCAATTTACAGACGAAAGAAAGAAACACTCTAGCCTCCAGCTCCAGTTTGTTAGTGAGAGATAAACGAGAAGAAAGTTTTTAAATATAAAAGTAATATATAGTCACTTATACGTTTATCTTGTACATTTTTTATGGGATTTCTCCTAAATTTATGAGTATATACATTCAAGTTGTGGAAGACTATACTTTTGTTTCTCTTAAAATTATGTGTATATGTGTGTAATAACCGCATATATGTAAGAAAAACGATAATATAAAAAATTTAATTTGAAGAAATTATGTATCGAAGCGCCAATTTATAGACGAAAGAAAGAAATACTCCAGCTTGTTAGTGAGAGATAAACGAGTAAAAAATTTTTAGATGTAAAGTAATATATAGTCGCTTACATGTTTATCTTGTGCATTTTTTATGTGCTTTCTCCTAAATTTATATGAGTATGTATATACATTCAAATCGTGAAAGACTCTTGTTTCTCTTAAAGTTATATGTGTGTATATGTGTGTAGTAACCACATATATGTAAGAAAAACAATAATATAAAAAAAATTTAACTTGAAGAAATTGAGACTCGTATAATGAATAAATCATAAATAACTCAATAGTGCCTTTGCGAGCCGATACAGATGTTGGTGTGTAATTTTTAATGTTACAAATGTTACAATGTCAAGCCATGATATTGTAACATTAAAAATTGTTACACACCGACATCCGTGTGAACTCGAAAAGGCACTATTGAGTTATTAATAATAAAAATTAATTTCATTATTAAAAATGTTAATATTAAGAAAGCTATATTAATCTTTGTAATTATACAATTGTTTAAAGTATACTTTCATTTTTATTCACAGAACAGGGTGCTTTTATCTCTTGTTGGAAGAAGTTGTCGAAGTAACAGGGACTCTAAACATTTTATCAAAATGTTTAAGAACAGAAATTCAGCAGATTCTTTAAATTCTACTAATACGAGATCTCCCAGAGAACGTAAAAGTTGCCTGAAGCGTGCCTTGCAGCAGACACGGGTTTTAGGTAAAAAATTATTTTTTTTTGTTTTATATCTAATGCAATAGATATAAAACAATGCAATAGATATAGAACATTTGTTTTATATCTAATACAATCAATCAAATAAATAATTTACAGAGGAAGTGATCAATGATTCTACAATAAATAAATTGGATGAGGCCATAAACGAAGTTGACCATGTCAATTATGAAACAAGTATACAAGAAAAAGGTATAAAAAGCTTTAATTATTTTTTATGTACATATTATTTTCGTATTTTACATATACGAAATAAACTATGTACAATATTTATATATAAATACTTTTTTACTTTATTAAATGTTTAAACTGTTATGCATTTACATTTAAACATTTATTAATTCTTTCTACTCTTCTAAAATTTAGTCTTACTTTAAATAATATTTTACACTAGCGCAAGCTTTACATATTCTTTTTAAATCTTTCGTTTATATCAAAGAAAATCATGTTTCAAGCACCTACGATGAAAGAAGATTGCGTGCGTGTTTAATGCATAATGCAAGTTATGTACATTTATATATTAAATCATTGACAGCATTTAGTAGATTGTTTATTTTGCAAACGTTGGGAGTTTTCACTAGAGAGATTTCCTCTAGATTTATAATCAAATTATATAAAGTGCTCACTAAACTAACACTCTGATTTAAGATAAACGCGGCCATTGGAACATAATATTGCAATTCAATAAAGAACATTTTTTTAAGTGTACGTTTTATTAATCTGTATTTCAGTATCTAATCAACAGGAGGTGCTTATTGATTCACAAATGATGATGTCATCTTCCAAAGTTTTAAAAACCTGTACTATCTCATTGACGAAAAGAATGCGTGATTATGATCATATAGACTTTTCACAAAAATTGGTAATTTGCTGAAAATTATAATTCACATACCTATATAGTATATTTCTATATCCTATGTCTATATACCATATACCTACATCTAAATATTACATAATATTAAAACTGCTCATAAAATATTGTATGTTGCTATTTTTGAACAGCCTTATTTTATTATTTTTATGTCTCATCATATAGCTATTATTAAAATATCTACGTTTTATTTAGATAAAAAATTTGCAAGTAACATCAGAAGAATCACAATCTCCAAATTGGTCACTTTTAGAAAGACGGGTGACAAAATTGTTTAAAAGGGTTGCCAATAGCAGCACATTATTAGGTATGTTTATAATTATTGACATTAGAAACAAAAAAGAATATATTGTAAATATTTATTTTGTAGATATACACATATAATTTTTTTTCTTTGTAAATATTTTTTGGAAGCGTACTATCATGTAATTTTTAATCCATACCTATCCATATTTGAGAATTTTTCAAAATAAAATTTCTTATAATTTTTATTATTTCAGGTACATTGGATCCTTTAGAGAAGAAGACAATAGTTAGAAAAAAACCTGAACAAAGAATGGCATCGCAAGCTACAATGACAGTACCTGATAAAGTAGTGTCACAAGCAAATACAAAAGATGAAGACAGTGTAGAACGTACTGTAAGGAAGATTAAAAAGTTAATCACATGTTATTGCAAGGAAGCAGGGAAACCTGTCGATTTTTTTGAACTAATTCTGCATCCCCATGATTTCGGAAAAACTATTAGAAATATGTTATACATATCATTCCTTGTAAAAGATGGGGTAGTGAAATTAAAAAAAGGTCTCTATCTTTTCAAGTAAATAATTTACTCTTCTTATTTATTATCCAAATTTGATGATTATTTTTATCTCAGATCATAGAAGCCTTGTTGTGGAACCATGTCGCAAGGAAGTAAATTCACAAGAGAAACAATCTGGCAACAGAATGGGTATTCAGAATGTTACATCATTAAACATGAAACAATGGACAGTAAGTTAAATCCTTAAGATTCTCTATTTAATAGATCTTAAATTAGATTTCAATTTTAACGGATAAAATTTTTTGCTATTTTTAGTTTCATGCATATAAAAGCTATTTTATGAATTTTTTGTTACATATAGTATATTTTGTGACTATAATTGTAATTTATTCGATTAAATTGAAGATTAGGCATATTATAATTGTAGAAAAAACTATTGGAAATTAAAATGATAAATATGTCTTTTTTAGATTTTAAAAAATGCATACAGATTGGAGAGACCAATGATAGATTTTGACGAAGGAAAATAATTATATTAATACACTTTCTTATTAATACAAAAAAAAAAGTATATTCTTATTATAATTTCAATTTATGGTATTATATTACATTTTCAATATATTGTATTAATCATTTTTTTCATAACTTTAATTGAAAATTATTAAAACGAGATATATAATGATATTACGTATACATATAATGAACATTTTGTATTTTTGTAAAACTTTTATTAATATCTAACATATACATCGTGATTCTGCGGTATATGTTAATTGGTAATAACATGATCCATATTGATTAGATCTATGAAGAAAGTCTAAAAGTAGCAGTATGTTAATGTATATTCTGATTGAACACATTCATGTCCGATTTCCATGTATTTTTAATGAGCGTTCATGTAACCAAAAGAAGGTAAAGCGTAAAGCAACCTTTTCAGTTTGTACGATAAACTTTAATAATATTACAGTAATATTTCATATTGTTTCGAAAAAAACTCAATGTTTATGTTTTTCCGCTTTTCTTTTATATTTTTTCATTTGAACACTTTTAGTACTTGCTCAATTTAGATTTAAGGAACTGTGATATTATGATAAAAATTAAATAAGAAAAAATTCAATTTTTGTTGAAAGGTTGTTTTCACGAACAAATGATCAAATAAAATTTTTACAACGCTTTTACGATTGACTGTAAATTAATTTATTGTTTGGCCAACGATTCTGCTTTTGCTACTACTTCCTCAATCGGACCGACCATGTAAAATGCTACTTCCGGTAAGTGATCTAATTCTCCAACCAAAATCTTTTGGAATCCTTTGATGGTTTCTTGTAATGGTACTAGTTTACCAGCGTGACCGGTGAATACCTCGGCAACCTAAAATAACAGTCGACTTATAATGCATATTACATAATGAAATAAAGTACTGAATTTAGTGATAAAGCAGTGTTTGGCTTATTAAAGCCGTGTTTCGTGTATATTAACCAGTACTGAAAATCTATAATATACGTGACGTGAAATATAGATTTTCAGTATTGGCAGCGTATATCGGAATACAGCCTAAACAAAACACTCGACTTTGATTTTCGGTCCTATCACATATAAAACATTTAAGAAAATATTCTACTGTAAAGAAAAACAAAAACCAGGAGTACAAAACAAATCCAAAAAAATTTGATAAATAATACTGTAGCCTACGTAAAGAATAAAAATCCAAATAATAAGAAAAACGACAAGATAATTTATAAAAGTAACACTAATATTTTACGTTTTATGACGATTTTTAAAGGATTACATCAAATTTACATGTGTAGTGTATATTTTCTCTCACCTGGAATGGCTGGGACAAGAACCTTTGGATTTTACGCGCACGTGCGACTGTCAACTTGTCTTCCTCTGATAATTCGTCCATACCCAAAATTGCAATAATATCCTGTAGTGACTTATAATCTTGGAGGATCTTCTGTACGCCACGGGCGATATTATAATGTTCCATGCCGATAATATTAGGATCCATAATACGAGATGTGGAGTCGAGAGGATCGACAGCCGGATAAATACCTATATTACCAATAAATACATGCTTGAAAGATTACATCGTGACACAATAGATATAATTCTCAGATAGTGAATTCAGTTACTTGCATGACGTTAGATTGATACTAAAAGCTGCTATACATAAAATTAACAAAGTTGAATGTAAAAACATAAATATCTCAAATGATTAAATATCCAATATGATTTAACAATTGCATGTATTATTTCCTTATTAAAGTTGATTGACGTTCAAGATAACATTATGCAATTTACATTTAGATATTTCATATATAGCAGCATTTAATATGCATTAATCCAAAGTATAACGCAAATGATCAAAATTCACCAAGAAAAATTGTACCTAATTCAGCAATGGCGCGTGACAATACAGTTGTAGCGTCCAAGTGAGCAAAGGTGGTAGCAGGAGCGGGATCTGTCAAGTCATCAGCAGGTACATAAATGGCTTGAACAGAGGTGATGGATCCCTTTTTCGTCGTGGTAATACGTTCTTGCATAGTACCCATATCAGTAGCCAACGTAGGCTGATAACCCACGGCAGATGGAATACGACCCAACAAAGCAGATACCTAAAAAAAAATGCATATATAATATATATTTAAATATTAGATATTGAAGATGTATTAATAAAGAATTTAAAAATATTTAATCACAATATAAGAGGAAAAATTAATTCTGTCAGAAACAAAATATTTTTATTTTGATAAATAAGTGATTCACTTGTCTTTTTGTATAAAACTATTGTTAACGTTTCTTTTTGCATAAATTGGTTTCTTTTACGTATTATATGTATAAAAATACAATAGCGCTGATAGTACACTTCCCGAACACAACATATATTAACATAGTTGAACAAGAAATACATATTTTT